TTTTTTTTTGGTCTGGACATCCCCGGACCTCGGATGCATGTCCGTACTGTCCGGTGTCCGGTGGTGTCCGGTGTCCGGTACAGTCCGGAACACCGGACAGTCCAGACCGGTCCTGACACTGGTCCGAAAGACAGTCCGAAAGACAGTCCGGAAGTGTCCGGTGTCCGGGTCCGGGGTTACCATGCAAGAGACTCACCTCACTTTTTCGATGGAACACAACAGAATCCGGAAATTCTTTACAAGAAAACTGGGAGGAGTCAAGGATGAAACCTGGTCCTCAAATAACTCCTCCAGCACAAAAGGAACTGCCATCCTCATACCCAAATCATCCCCCTTTTACATGGCATGGTCTGTAATGGGCATGGAGGCAGACACATAAGGGGGAAGATGGTGCTTCATGGACCTTAAACGGAAGGACGAAGAATTCAGAATCATCAATGTTTACGCACCTAACCACTCCATAGAACGAGCGGTTTTTATAATGGACATAGGTGGACTGCTCACACCATTGACATCATGTATTCTGACAGGTGATTGGCACGCAACTCTAGACCCATTCGTGGATCGTATATCCAGATCATCGGCATGCCAATCATCACAGGAGGCAATTCCCATTCAAAAACCGATGGTCGATCACAATCTGGTGGCACCTTTCCGTACCTTGCATCCGGGGAAGAGAGCCTATACTTCGGTGAAAAGAAAAAAAAAAATCATACCCAACATACTGCTCTCTCTTTCACTGATTATTTCTTGCTCTCAGAAACTATGATGGGATCAGCCAAAAGTGTGGAGATCATGCCTCTGGCACCTTACCCGGGGTTGGACCACAAACCAATTGAACTCATCCTCAAATTTGCACAGTTCATCAAGAAAGGTTGCAACTCTCACATGCTAAATAACTCCCTCCTTTTGCGCCAGACCTTTCGGGCAGGTGTTCAAGAATGCTGGCAGAACCCAAGAAGAGGATACCTAGGCAGTGGTTTCAAAAACGCTACCTCACTCTATCTCAGACAATGGCTAAAATTTCGAGGAAACTAGCCAACGATAGAAAACAAAGGAAACAGGCGTTGGAAAATGTTCTTAAGATATCTGAGAGATAAACCTGATCGATAATCCATCTTCCGTGCTCTACAAAGACATCTTTGAAAAAGCGAGAGAAGAACTGGCGACATGGAGATGGTGGGAGCTGGAAGGCCTGCAAGTGAGAGCAAGGATGAATGAATACCAACTAAGCGAGTCAATGTCCAAACACTTCTTCGCAAGAATAAAAGCCAATGCAAGGACCAATTCAATTGAAGGCCTAAAGACTCTGACAACACCTGAAATGACCACAAATAGCGTGGCGTGTTGAACATAGCGAAGGAATTCTAAGAGCACTTCTACCACAGAAAGACCCCCACACCTACCCCTCCGAGCACTAGAGAGGCACGAAACAAGATGTTACACACCATTTAGAGAAAACGATCTCACCAGAACAAGCACAATCCCTTGATAGACCGATCACAATAAAGGAACTACAAGTCACAGTTCAAAGCATGAATACAACATGCATAGATGGACTGACGAAAGAATTCAGAGAAAAGTTTTGGCCACTCTTAGGGGGTGATCTACTGAATTTTTACAATGACAGTTGGTTTAAGGGCATTTAGGAAGCCTGATGAATAGTAGTGTAGTTACGCTGCTGTACAAGAAAGGGGAGAAGGAAAACATCATAAATTACAGACCAACCTCGCTGCTAACTCTCCCTTACAAGATTCTGGCCAAAGCTCTAGCTTTTCGAATCTTAGATATGACAGACAAATGCTTCCACATTGATCAAACAGGTTTCATCCAGGGTGATGGGAGTTTTGGCGCCCGCGCCGTTCCGGTAAGCACGCGCTATTTTCGCGCTATTCTGCGTTAAGCCTTGCGAACCCGGTCTCACGCAAAGCCGAAGAGCGTGAAAGCGTTGGTGAGCATACGCGCCATCATGCGACCTTTCTTCGAACCTGAACTTCGTCCAAATACGAGAGCCTAGGAGAGCTATTATGTCACCACGAAGCACACCGCGCCACGCCCCAGGGCGTGACACAGGTGAGAAAGAGACAGAGGAGGGTAAGGAGAAGGGAAAGAGGAGCGTGGAACGAGGACGAGACAAAAATCGGCAAGGAAAAGGGAGTGACGACAAGAAGGGGGGAGACATCGAGCGAGGTAAAGCAGCGGAAGGGAAACACACAGCGGAAAGGAGAGCTCGGGGAAGATATAAGTGAGGGCAAGGAAGGGACGAAAGCAGGGAAAGCGGCACAAGGAAACAAGAAGTGAGCAGCGAAAAATCCACTCAAGTGGAACGAAGTACAGCCAAACGGAACAAGAAGCTAGAGACAAGAAACACACATGATGAGAGGTAAGATCGTTCCTCTTAACTAACGGCAGCAACAAAGCAAGGAGGGATCAGAGGGACCAAGAGCTCGTACAAGCAGGCAAAAGGACAACGCGAAGACATCACCTGCACACAAACGCTAGAAATCGCTACAACACTTCTCACAAGCAAATACGGACAACGCGACCATCAAAGTTTATTTTTTCTCGTATTTAGTATCTGCACGCGCCGAAACCCACGAGACACTGTAGCAGCGTATTCCAATGCCCCCACTGCATCGTGAAAATGGACAAAGAAATAATACCTACTGCTTTTACTATATTTTGAACACAGCCTACAGACTGTTCCAGCTCCAGACACAGACTTAGGCTAAACAAGACAACACACTATCAAAAGCACATAGGGTTAGAGACAAGACCATATAGCATTCTCTCATCTTGACCCAATCTCATCAGCGTGATAACTTGGAATAATCCAAACCGCGACGATCCAACAACCCGCCAACAAACACGGTCCTAGGTCTTCTCGTAGATCGTCCACCACTGACCCACAACTCGACACACCGCCCCCCATTTCTACCCCACATCACGCAGCCCTCCCCACTCCACACCCGCCTTCCCCCTCCCCCCCCCCCCCACATTCCGACTCCACATTGCCTTACAAGACGCTGCACACCCCATAGTCCCGCGAAAAGCCAAACACACCACACCCTTCCCTCACTCTCACTTCAACCCCACCTCGACGAAGCCGTCCCCATCTTGCACCCCCACCCCCATCCGCTTACCTACCATCCGCCCACGATCTCCACGGACCGAATCTCACTCTCCACCATCACCTCTCACAGCACACCACACCTCCTACCCCACACACACATACACCACCACTCCTCGAAGCCTCCCCACCCACCCCACCCCCCCCCGCCATCCCAGCTCCCCCACCGACCAACCACACTTCCTCACCATCTGAAAACCACCCCCGACCCCACAACCAACCACACACCAGATAAATCCCCCCCCACCCCCTTAGCCCCCCACCTCCAGTCTAACCACCTAATTCGAACAACGCAAACAAGGAAGATCCTGGACCATACGGGCAAATGACAAAGCAGTAAGGGTATGATCGAGTACTATTGCTGCTCCAAGTAGCTCCCATTCCTCGCTCCTATCCCGTCAGCGGCCAATCGTGACCCCAGACTTGGTAAGAGAATGCTGCCATTTTTTCTGCGATCTCGAAGTCTCAACATTATTTAAATTCCTTCCACCCGATTACTGGTTAGGTAATCGGCATTTCACCAGAGGATTTTTGGAATCACCAGGAAGGAGAACTAGAACATTATTAATAATATTACTTACCTTTATTATCAGATTCATCATTGATTAATATTGCCTAACGAGAGTCTCATTTATTAAATATTTATTTTATTAAATTTACCAATTATTGGTTATCGACTAATCGGTCGCTACTCCACAGTGATAGGCAATATCTTGAAGTTCTGCTTAATTGGTCGTTACTCCACAGTCGTGCACAATATTTTGAAGTGTTGCCTCCTAAGTACCACGCACCAATTCAAATTCAGGAACGTTCGCTCGAAGATTCTTCCTTTTCGGCAATAGCGAAGTCCTAAAGGACTGCTATCCTTCAAAAAAACGATCCCCAGTGGGGAGGGTAAACGCTGGCCAATTTTTTCGGAGTACAGACCCACTCACAAGGCGTCCACAACCCCTTCACAACTAATCGCCAATTAGAAGCACTCCTACTGTAATCAAGACCATCTACATAGCTCAAGCTTGCTGATTGAGAAGAGGCAAACCTGTTTGACGTCCTAGCCAAAAATCCCATCCCCGAGAGGGGAGGGTACGCGCGGACCATTTTGTCGGCAAAGTAGCTCATCCTTCGCTGCACTCAGCTTTGTCCAAGTCCTCTGCCACACCTCCTGGCGAGAAAGATCAGACACCTCGCCCCACAGTAGCCCTTATCTCTTTTGGCCGACCAGAGACCCTCAAACACCATGGCAAAGACATGCGCCGAAGCGCTCACCACAGGAACAGCAACACCTCTCAAACCAAAGGACAACACAGGACCGTCTGGCATTCCTTCCCCTGTAGGTCAGACCCCTCAGGGACCAAGCAAGGGACAGTTGGGCACACAACCACAACCAACAGAGAATTCCCAAGACACAACAACCTCGTTCCACAAAACACTGAGCCAAAGGGCTATGGAGTTCCTGATTTCAAATACACAAGTCAAATCCAAAGTTAACA